CTTCCTCGTCAACCGTCCCTTCAATCATCCTCCTTCACCCCCTGCCCTTCACCCTCCCCAATCCCGACCCACAGCTTGGGTCCGAAACACTGATTGTCTAGTGCCTTGGCATGTCCTCCCGACGTGAAAGGTGCTATACAAATGTTTTTTGTTGTTGTTGTTCTATTCAATACAGTCAAGAGGTCCTCAATTAGGGGACACAGTGTTTAACTTGTAAGTGGGGTAGGGAGGATAGACTTAACTATGCACAGAGGGTGGTTAATGTGTGGAACAGTTTGGCCAGGAAAACTGTGGACAGGACTGTGACAAGAGGGAATTGGAATGGGTTTTTAATCTTCTTCACATGGACATTAAAACCCCACAGCACATTTTGTAAAAGAGAAGGGAGTTCTTGCTCAAAGAATCCTCCAGATTAAATCAGCCATTTCACCTCATAGTGGTTTGTGAGGACAAACAACAAGAAACAGTCACCATTGATGATAAGTACTTATCAAGCCCTTTGAGATATTTTGATGTGATAAAGTGCTATAAAACTTATTTCTCAATGTAACCCGTGTTAGTTTAATTCCTGTTGTGTCTGAGTCCTGTAGTTCAGTGGTTAGAGCACTCGCTTTGCAAGTGAAAGACTTGGGTTCAATTCCAGGCTGGGCAAAACCTTGGGCAAGTTTCCTTACTCCACACAGAGCCTAATAATAATCCCTCCCAAACAAAACAATAATAAATTGGTCATTTTCAATCCATGACTGTTTGTGGGACACTGCTGTGCGCAATTGGCTGCCGTGTTTTGCCTACAAATATACAATTTACAGCATATTCTGTGAAGCGCTTTGAGAAGTCTAGAAGATGTGAAAAGCGCTATATCAAATGCAAGGATTATTATTATTATTATAATATCCAGCAGCTCAATACGATAACTGCTCACCACTGTCGCTACTTACAACGTTTGATAGCCCAGCATTCCCTCTAAGGTATTGCACTGGGATAAACAAAAGTGAGATATGCTTTGGCAGCATTCTCCCGTCTATACTGTACACAAGAATACTTTGAACAAATCACTCCCTCCTGAGTTTATGCCCCTCTCATTACCAAATCACCAACCCAGCAGGAATAATCTTTCACTATCAATCCTCTCAAAACCTCTCAGAATTTTGAAGACGTCTCAGTTACAGAGCCGTTCACCCCCACCGATAATTAAGGAAGCACAATATGTTTAGGAAAACTGCAAATTTGCCCCAAAGGAATTGGAGGAGGCAATACAGCTCAGTGAGCCTGTTCCACCTCACGCCTGACATTGGTGATTTGACCGGCTAATTTACATGACCAGCAGTACTCTACTTCAGTTAACCAGTCACCTGCCTGTTTGTGGACATTGCTGTGTTCAAATTGGTTGCCGTGATTGCCTACACAGTCAATACATGTGACAGCAATTCCCGTGAAGAGTTGTGAAGAATTTGACTACTTAGTGCAAGTCCAGCTTGAGGCCTGAACCAACAATCCTTTGACCCAGAGGCGAGCGCACAGCTGATTGAGCCAAGATGACCAACACCAGATACCAATTAGAGAAGATTAATATTTGGCCCACGTCAGTTGATTAGCTATCCAGAGCAACGTCTCTGCTCACAAAGTGCAGTGAGTAGCAGTTCAGTCTCACTCCTGTGAGGGTAATTTTTTGCTGTGACTATGGTAATGGGGTTTGAAGTATTTCCTCATCACACTGTTAGATGTTTACAGTTTCAGCACATCCTGTGAAGTGCATTTGGGGTTTCCACAGCATTTATGGCCGTTTCTTAAAAATTAATTTCCGGCCCCTTTTTTTTAAAAAAAAACATTCTCTCGCTCCCCTCTTTGAGTTCTCTCAGCCTAATGCACTGTATTGTTCCCTGTGCAGAAAGGTTGGCAACCAATCTGTGTCTAGGCTTCTGTTCAGAAGCTTGTTTCTCCTTCACAGGGGGAGGATGAGGGGCATTGGTTTTATTTGTAATTATTCTGAAGTCAGACAAACATGCAAAATTGAGATATGTGATGCATAATAATAATCCTAATCCTTGCATCTGATATAACGCCTTATCGAGTCTTTGAGACGTCTCAAAGCGATTCAGTGAATTGACTATCTTTTGTGGGTGAAATGCAGCAGCCAATTGCGCTCAGCAGTGTCCCACAAACAGTCGTGGATTGAGTAACCACATTTTGTTAAAAAAGGGATTATTACTCCAGAAAAACGATCCGCCAATCGACCAACAACCGAGTTCCTAATTACTGCTGGTAAACAGAGACGTGTGGAGAAAGGAAACTTGCCCAACATTTCGCCCTGCCTGAATCCTTCGGAATTGAACAGTATGACCTCATTCTAGATCGAAGCTGTAGAATCCCGGTATGAATATGTTACCTAACCAGACATTTGTCTAGCCAAGCAGCCAAATGGGCTAGCTAACTATCCAATGGTCTACCAAGGGCGCCCAAGAATCTGTAAGGCTATCGAACACTGGTGGAGTGGGGGGATGAGGGAAAAAAAACTAGAAACCTATAACACGGGAGTTTCTCTCTCCCGGTGTCTTGGCAAATGATCCCCCAGATAAAATTGGTCTTTTACTTCATGGAGGTTTGTGGGACACTGCTTTGCGTAATTGGCTGCCATATTTTCCTACAAAATACACAGTCAATTCCACTTTCCAGTATATCACTCCACCTTGCAGTGAGGCAGGTTAATTTAGGGGATCATTTGTACGATTTACAAAAGGATTTGTACACAATGCGGGGACCCAGAGATGACTTTTTCCGTCCCATCAAAACTGCACTTGGACATTGATCTCCCACTGAAGGGCTGTAGGAGACCCTTTTGGTCACATTCAAGTTCACGGGAGTCAGAAACAAGATTGACATCTGAGGGGAGATCTGATGGGTCAAATTAAGAAACATGCAAGATTTGCCATTCACAAATTCCTTTTAGAGTTCCACAAATTCCCCCCTTACTAAAACTCTGACCCCCTCCCCCCAATAAGACAACATGTGTGAGGCACCCTTCACCTGCCACTACCTCAATAAGACATCCCTGAGTCCCTCTCCCCCCCACCCACACACACTGGAGTCCTGTAGTTTAGTGGTTAGAGCAGACGCCTCGCAAGCAATAGGACTTGGGTTTGAATCCCGGGCAGAGCAATAACGTTGGGAAAGTTTCCTTAGTTATCACGCTTCTGTTTACCTAGCAGTAAGTAGGAACCCAGTTATTAGCTGATTGGTGGATCGCTTTCTGGGGCTAATAATCCCTTCAAAAAGAAATAATAATAATGATGATTTGGTCACTCAATCCACAATTATTTGTAGGCCACTACTGCATTTCGCCCGCTAAACATACAGTCAATTTACTTTACAGTATATCCTGTGAAGCATTTTGAGACGTCTCAAAGACACGATAAGGCACTATACCAAATGCAAGGATTATTCTGGTTATATGTTATGTGCTGATGTGAATTCAGCTTCCCCATAACTAGGATCAGAAGTTCCACGAATGCTTTCAACAAAAAATCTAACAAGATAGAGACATTAAAAAAGGACAGGATGTGAAAATTCATCCCAAGTCTGGTTAAATTTTTAATCGCTTTTCAACCCCTCTTCCCCCCCTTCCTCCTCTTCTAAAGGTGTTGATTCCTGCTGGGGGATCAACAACAACTTGTATTTATATAGCGCCCCACCCGCAGGGTAGCGTCTCAGAGCGCTTAAACTGCACCTTGTGTTTACATAGAACCTTTCACGAAGAATAACACCTCAAAGCACTTTATAGTGTGGATCACTGAGCAATGAGAAAGGTGGGAAAAGGGGTGGGGAGGAGGGGTTGAGGATGTTTGCTGAAAATATGGTCAGTGGGATGGGTTCAAGGAAGTCAACTGAGAACCCAGTCAAAGAGATGGGAGCTTACAGACTATCTTACTGACACCAGATGCTTTCTGTTGACTCGCCCAATTGAGTATTGTTTATGTGTAAGCCTGCACATTGAGTGATTATTCAATCAATAATATATAATAATCCTTGCATTTGATATAGCGCCTTATCACGTCTTCGAGAAGTCTCAAAGGGCTTCACAGAAAATACTGTAAAGTGAATTAACTGTTAGCGAAACGCGGCAGCTAATTGCGCACAGCAGCATCAAACAGTCGTGGATTGAATGACCAAGTTATTATTATTTTTTTTGAAGGGATTATTACGCCCAGAAAAGTGATCCACCAATTGACTAACAACCGGGTTCCTACTTATTACTAGGTAAACAAAGGCGTGCGGAATAAGGAAACTTGCCTAACATTTCACCCTGCCTGGGAATCAAACCCGGGTCCTCTCGCTTGCGAGGTGAGTGCTCTAACCACTAAACTACAGGACTAAACTGCAAGATAATTTTCTCCAGCATATAAAGAACAATGGGATGTTAAAAACCTCAAGACACTATTCATAAAGAAGGTAGATTGGTCGTGGCCAAGAATCCTCCAGATAAATGTATGATTCCCGAAGTGGCTGCCACATTTACCTACAAGTACACAGTCACTACACTCACCAACATTTCCTTGTGAAGTGTTTTGAGAAGTTTCAAGGTTCTGCTTTAAATGCAATAAATAGTTTTTATTATAAAATTTTACTGTATAGAAGGAGGCCATTCGGGCCTGTATTGGATCTTTGAAAGAGATATCCAATCCCCCACTCTTACTCCATAGCCCTACAAAGTTTTCCTTTCCAGGTACCTATCCAATTGCCTTTTGAAAGTTATTATCGAATCTGCATCCTCCACCCTTTCAGACAGTGCATTCCAGACCGTAACAACTCTCTCTGTAAAAAAATGTCTCCTTGTCTCCCCCCGGTTCTTTTGCCAATTATCTTAAATCTATGTCCTCAAATTAACGACACATCTGGCAGGGGAAACAGTTTCTCCCTATCCACTCTGTACGTTATCTTCCAATAATGTTCAGTAAACTGTATCAAACAATAATTCCTACATAGCCTGGCTCACGTGTACTCACCACTCTTGGTTTGGCCTGGGCCAGGGTCTGCAGGTAGTTTGGAGATGACTCGTTGCCTCTGTCGGGATCGCTGGAGATGTCATCCTCAGATTCATCCCAGGAGGAGGAGAAGCCGGTGGAGGAAGCCGATGAGGAGGAGAGTTTGCGGAGGGGTGGGCCATGCGGCTGGGTCCCATTGGGATCAGACAGATCAGTGTCTGTCGCCCCTTCTGTTCCATGCTCAGTCACAATGACGTATGGGATCTCAGAGCTGACAAAATCCCTGAGATGGAGGAGCGGGGGGGAACCGGGCAGACATCCCACTCCCACCTCCTGTGCATCCGGAACGCTGGGCAGACGCAACCCAACTTGGGGTGACCCCAGCGTAGGAAAACCCAGTTGATTCGGCATGATCTCAGCTCCATGCTCTGCAGCAATACGTTGCCCCTTCAATCCCATGCAGAGCTGCTCTTCCGGGCTGGATTCAGGAAGATTGTCTCTCTCCTCCTCCCACTGCTGCTTCCGCATCTCAGAATCCCAGATTCCTGGATCATTCTGTGTAACAACGCTACTTATCCTCCTTTCTCCATCTCCGCTGGATCTCAGTAAAGTTGTCTCTTTCACCTGTGAGTCTGTGCCCACTTCAGGATTTTGGCCATTCCTATTATCAGCGTTCCTCCGCTGGAAGTCCCAGCTGAGTTTGGAGATTTGTCCCAGATTTACATCCGGCACGGTTGCTCTCCTCTTCCCTTGAGGCATCTGGACATCCTGGGAATTGGCTTCAAAAATCCCAACTTTCCTGCTGAACTCCATGGTTTGCAGTTCCTGGGTCGGTCCTGGGCTATGGGCTCGGAGCCTGGCTCTGCCGCTTGGCAGGTTCCCATTGCCCTCGGCCATCAAGCCGTCGGGAGACCACAGTGCCGGGGCCTGGAGGGTGGCACCGGAGACACCAGGAAGGAAGCAGCAGCTCAGGTCCTCGTTGGAGCCAGCCTGGGATGGAACCCCCACACCCAGGTGGTCTGGGAGAGACGCACGATTAACCCTCGGCAAGGAGGGGCTCAGGCTCCTTGGACCCCCACTCACCCGCATGTGGATACGGGAGATGTGGAGCTCGGCTGCGGGCTGGTCAGGCGTCCCACTCCTGGGGCTGCCGTTTGCATTTATATTGCTACTCATTGTCATACCATTGTGCAGAGTGCACACAGCCATAACATAAGGAGACCGACTGCCTGGAGTGCTGGCATCTAGCCCCGTAGGTCCTGCCTTTTCTTCCTCCTCTCTCAGTCTTTACCCTCCACCACCACCACCACACTTTCAGAGCAGTTCTGAGCAGATCCCAGCACTGGCAATGCCAGGACCCACCTGTACCTCTTAAAGGCTCCACGACAAAGCTCCATAAACAAATCAGCTGAACATATTCAAAGCAACTCCATCCAAAGCAGGCAGCTCACTCGCTTTGGCAGGTGAGTGTGCCTCCGCTGAGCTGAGTGCCGGCGGAAACATAAAGCAACCTTAACCTTAAGGCAAATTCTTCAGTTTTATCAAACTAATGAAAATATCTGCTTCTGAATTAATTGAATAGTCAAGTTTTTTAAAAAAATAAAAATGACCACAATAAAAGATTAAAACTTTTTCGCATTGCACGTCTCAAGACCCTCCTCTTCAACTGCGCCTTTGGTCACCCTCCAACCCCTACCCTCCCTGCCCTGCACACCTCCAGATCCCAACTCCCTGCTCAGGTCCAAATCCCTGACTGTCCAGGACCTTGGGACGTCCTCCCAACGTGAAAGGCGCCGTGTAAATGTAATTTGTTGTTGTTAATTGCTGCACATTTGGGGTGTGTAAGTTTCAGCTGTCAATCAAAAGTTGCAATTTGTCTTCAGCTGTCAATCAAAAGTATCTTTCACTTTCCAATTCTGACCACGTCTCTGTCTCTGTCTGTCTCGATCTCCTGTAAAAGCCAAGATCTGCCCTGCACGAAGTACAGATGATTCTGATTCTGGTTTAGCAGATCCACAGAACAAAGCCACAACATGCAAATAATAATCCTTGCATTTGAATTTGGTAAATGCCAAAAAGCTGTGGTTTGAATGCCCTGTCCTGGTTCAGATCATAACAAGTATAATCCTTGCGTTTGATATGGTACCTTATCCTGTCTTCGAGTCATCTCAAAGTCGTCTTCACAGAATATAGTATATATTCCCGTTTCCAAAAGAGGTTAAGATGGGAGAGAGAAGGGAAGAGAGAGAGCGACAGGCGAGAGACAGCGCAGCATTCCTGGCAGATCAATTGCAAAGTATAATCCCTTTGATCGAGCGATGGCAAATAAATCTCCCCAATAACTGGAAGATCAGAAGTCCTTGCAAGTTTTGATCGAAGTTAACTGTGTTCCCAGAACTCCTTCCAAACAATGCTCAGTGACGATGTGTACACACACACTGTATAGATTGCAAACTTGACACAACTGCAGCTGAAGGCAAAGGCTCTTCTTTCTCTGCAGTTTTCCTTGGATTTGAAAAGAGACGATTGTGTCCTTTTGCTTCCAGATCGCACTCTAACGATATTTCCTCTAACGTTGTGAGATTTCCCGACCTCTTTCTCGCTCTCTCTCCTCTTTGTGTTTGTCAGATCGAAGTTCTCTGCAAACAGGAAGGAAGTGACTTGTGCTACAAATGTCTTGTGAGTGAGTGTATCAGAACCAGCCTCTTTCTCTTTAAATGTCTGGCTTGGTTCTTGATGTTGCACACACACACACACACACACACAGAGCCCATCCCTGGTTCTGAAGGAGGTTGGAACGAGTCATTAATTGCAAACTTCCACAAACACAGCACACCCCTCCCACAAAAGAAACATTGCACCTTCCAGACACTCTGAAGCCCACCTACTCTCAGCCAGGAAATCCATTCTTGACTTCAAATTTAAATCAAAATTTAAGACTTAAATTTTAAGATTGTGCAGAATTGTGTCTTTTTTCTCTTTTCAATAACTGCAGAAAAAAAAGCTTGTGAATTAAAACAGAATTTAATAATAATCCTTGCATTTGATAGAGCGCCTTATCATGTCTTCCAGACGTCTCAAAGTGTTTCATGGGATATAGCGTAAAGTGGATTGACTGTGTATTTTGTGAACAAAATGCGGCTACCAATTGCAAACAGTAGTGTCCCACAAACAGTCGTGGATCGAGTGACCAAAAAGTATATTTTTCAAGGGATTATTATCCCCGGAAATGCAATCTGCCAATCAACTAACAATCGGGGTAGTTAAACAGCTAGTTAAACAGAGGCATGTGGAGAAAGGAAACTTGCCCAACGTTTCGCCCGGCCAGGGAATTGAACCCAGGTTATCTTGCTTGCAAGGTGAGTACAGGACACAATTTAAGATTTTTAAAATCTAATTCTACAATCTTTAAAACTAAGACAAAATGGTCTCACAGGCTTTTTGAGTCCATTCCAGTGCTGGGGGAGCATGACATTGTCAATGATACTGTCCTTCAGATGAGATATCTGAAGGGCACAGATTTCCAGTTCTTCAAGTCGATGTTAAAGATCCCATGAGTCATCAGAAAAAAATCTTTATTTAGAAGCCAGGTTTATTCAGACTGTAAAATAATGATAATCCTTGCATTTAATCTAGAGCCTTATCATGTCATTAAGATGTCTAAAAGCTCTTCACAGAATATACTGCAAAGTGAAAGGGTAAATTATTGCAAATGCTGGAAATCTGAAATGAAAACAGAAGTTACTGGGAACACTCAGCAGGTCAGACAACATCTATGGAGAGAGGAAAATGAGTTAACGTTTCAGATCACATCTGACGAAAGGTCATTGACCTGAAATGTCATCGACCTAAAGTGAATTGACTGTATAAAGAGAAACCAATTTTTCACACTAAAAAGAGACTAATCTCCAAATTAAGACGGAATCTAAAAATTGTCTACAAATCTTCACAGTCTTAAATGTTAAGACAAAATGGTTTTACAGATTAAGACTAAGGGGAATTTTAAGGTGCAGATTCAGGGATCCCAAGCTGATTTTTTCCCCCTCCTTAACCAAAGGGCTGGTGAGACCAATTGAAAGTGCTCGCTGTTCGTTGCTCACTATTGCTCACCTGTCATGAGTTAACTTAGCACAAAGCGGGGATTTAAATCTAAACTGATATTAGTAAACCCCAATGAATCAACAACAACAACTTGCATTCTTATAGCGCCCTTCAAGCCCTTCTGTCCCGGAGTGTTTGGCAGTGGCATAAAAGTACCTTGTACAGCCAATTCACTTTACAGTATATTCTGTGAAGCCCTTTGAGACGTTTCGAAGATGTGATAAGGCGCGACATCAAATGCAAGGATTATTATTATCATTGTAAATAGTTTGCAGTGTTTGAATTAGGAAGATCAAACAGAGAACCAAGCCAGTCAGCTCATTCATGTCTCCCAGTGGCAAATAACGGAACTGCAAACGATGTGTGCCTGGAATACCCCACTTGACCAGTCAGGGAATGTGGAGGGAGGGAGCGAGCGAGGGAAGGAAGAATAAAAGACCGAAGAAAACTTTTTTTCCCCCCAGTCAGCAAGTTGTTCAACATGGGCTCTCACCTGGTGAGTTATTTTTAAGTATATTATCCTCCTGGTGCGGTTGACTTTCTGTACACGCTGCCCAAATGGAGAATTAATCCTTGCTTTCCGTATCCTCCTTGGAGTTAAGTGGAGTCTCCTTGGAGCTGAACTGGCTCCAATGTGACATCTTTGGTAATGGAATGACAGAATCGAGTCAGCCCCGGTCTCTCGTCTGGTTCCTGAGCCAGGAGTCCTCAGTATTCCAGGGCACTGCTGATGACAGCACAGCCCAGCCTGACTCATTGGCAGGACCTGGAAGGACAGACCAGTCACTGGGGGCAGGGAATCCTCCCAGTCAACTCCTGTTAATGTTGTTGTTGTTAACCCTGCAAACCAATGCCCTAATGGGTAGGGTGGTCCTAGCTGGACAAGTAGCGGGAAACCTTGCCAGACAGAAATATTAATGTCAAACTATGTAATTTTAGCTGGTTAGATTTCAGCAGTTACCATAATGCACACTCTGGGGTCCCCAAGCCTTGGCTCTTGCTAACCTGCGCCTAATACTTTCCGGAATTAGGTGAACAGGTGTCACTCCAGGGAGAAAGTGTGCATTCCATTCCAACAATATATCTCTGGGATTTCTATGTGTAGGTGGGATGCATGGAAATCTCAGCTTGGTTTGGAGACTCTTAAGCACGGTGATGGGTTTCCGTGTGTCAGACAATCGACTGAGTATAAAAAATAAAAAATCCCGAAAATGAAGAAACCTCATAAAACCGTGAATTATTTTGAAGTGCAGTGATTGTCTTTACTTAAGGCAAAGAGCAGCAACCAACCTGTACCTCTTAACATCTCACAACCAGCGGTGAGGCGCATAGCTTGGCTGATTGACATGTATTCCAGAGCACTTGGATGAATATTTGCGAGTTTTCTGGGAGAAATGATTTGACTTTTGGTTGTGTAATTCCCTGCCCAGACAGGTGGATGGGATCTACATTTAATGTGTGATTGTAGGGAGCGATAGCCAAACAAGAGATAAGAAACCACATAGCATTGTTTGCAAAAAATCTGAGGATAATGTTGCACACACACAGTCTTACAGCAATGCTGTAATCCCAGACCAGAAACCACAAGACACAGACAATAAAACATTCCAAACAGCTCCTTATACAGCAATGTGCCAGTACAGCTGGAGAGAAACAGCAGAAGGCTATTCTGACATCGTAATGGAGAAGATTATTATATTGTTAGCAGTGGTCTACTTGGGGTGAGGTGTTAAAATGGAGGTCATTTCTCACTGAATGCGCTTCAGGTGGACATTAAAGATTGCAGATTGTCTTAGCTTCAAATGGTTCCAATCCTTAGTAATTGGGTTAATTTTGGTCAGCGAGCCGACTGCAGAAAATGTACCTACAGTATTTCTACTCATTGAATTGCAACAACAACAACCAAATTACATTTGTATAGTGCCTCTCATGTCAGGAGAACATCCCAAGGCGCTGGACAGTCAAAGTTTCGGACCTGAGCTGGGGGTCGGGATCGGGGCAGGTGGAGGGCAGGGGGCAGAAACACTCAAACGTGGGTCCCATCTGCCTGGCCTTCACGAGGGCTTTAAAGATCCTGTGACAGTATTTGAAAAAGAGAGGAATTTCTCTCATTGTCTTCCAGATTTAATAATAATAATATTCCTCACATTTGATATCGTGCCTTATCACTTCTTCGAGACGTATCAAAGTGCTTCACAGAATTTACTGTAAAGTTACTGTACATTTTGTGACCAAATTTATTGACCAGTTATTTATTGACCATTTATTGATTTATTAACCAGTCACCTCTATCACGGATGTTTATGGGACCTCACTTCATGCAAAACAACTGCCTTGCCTGCTCACAAGAAACAATTGCTACATTCAATAATTATTTGTGCAGCTTTTTTGAGACATTATATAAGTTATTTATCTTTTATTTGTTGCAGTAAATCTCCTTAAAAGGATGCAATCCAAGCCTTCATTCTGCGGAACAGTCCCAGCCTTCATTCTGCGAGACCAAAGCTATTGTAAAGTTTGACTGCTATTTTTGTCCCTGTGTGTTTTTTTAACAAAACAAGAATGATTTCCACAGAGTGAGCCAGGCCA